TTCATCTGTTCCTCATGACAGTTCTTTCTTTCTAGCAGTCATCCTGATTGGTCTTTCAGTTCCTCAAAGATTTCTTTCATCCTCAGGATCTTTGCATACTCTTTTTCCTCTCTCTGCCACTAGGGATTTACAAAATCACTAGAGATAATAATGAAGTTATAACTACAAGGGATGACACAAGGCAGAGACCAGACAAGATCACCAGGCTTGTGTAAAGGTAACAGGAAATGGGATTTGTTGTGCCTGGGTGCAGGCAGACAGAGGGTAAAAAGGCCCACTGTTGGAAACAAAGAGAAGGAGGCTTTTTTTTGTAACTCAAGTTGTCAATTAAAGGCTCAGGCTCCTCTCCACAGCATTCAAAGTCTCTCTCCTATACACACCAGATCTCGGTGTCCTCAGAGAGACACTGGCCCAGGGTTTCTCAATTAGCCCCACACAGGAGAAGATGTTGCAATCTTCCTTCTAGGATGCTTTAAAGGTTAAATCTGAATCTGAGGTCACCTAGAAGCACAAGCACTGTAGCTTTAACAATGACCTTGGGATTAAGTTTCCAACACATGAATCCTGGGTGATCAGTATTCAAACCACAGCACAACATCAGCTGAGAGTACACAAAAATGCAAAGTTTGGTTCAGCAGGCCTAGGGTCGGGGCTGAGGTTCTGCATTTCTTACTAGCTTCCATCTCCCTCTGGCTGGAGCCCTTATTCAGAGCAAGGAGGACTGAATATTTGGCACTTAGAAAAGTGAGCCCATGTTGTCACTCACTGACCCAGAAATGCCTACTGAAGCAAAAAATTTTATATTAGATTCCATATAGCTTTGGAATTAAACATTGCTTGCATTTTAATTCTCTAATGATCTCTACTGTAAAACTGATGTGTAGCGGCTATTAAACAAAGTATTTCTTTAAATGTAACTCTTCAGTTTTGATGCATCAGGTTGCTATAGGACGAGATCCAAGGAAATCCTCCAGAAGGAATATAGGGACCTCAGCTTGAGGAGGTTCCTGACTCATCATAGAAAAGCACTGCAGGACTCATCAGTGAGAAGGATAGGCAGATTTATTAGGCCAAATAACAGAAGTATGTAATGGTTGGGTGTGATGCAGCATGCCTGTAAGGTCAGCACTCTGGGAGGCTGAGGCAAGAGAATCACAAAATTTGAGCCTAGCCTGGGTAACTCAGTGATTGGTCTCAAAATAAAAAGTACAAAAAAGGTTGGGGTTGTAACTCATTGAATGGGTCCTGAATTTAATCCCTAGTACAAGAAAGAGAAGGAAGAGGAGGAGGAAGAAGAGAAGGTGGTTGAGGAAGAAGAGGAGGAGAGGAAGAGGAAGAAAAGAAGAGGAATATGAAGAAGAGGAGGAAGAGGAAGAAGATGAAAGGGGAAGGAGAAGGAGAGGAGGGAGAGGGAAAGCAGAAAGTGGGAAGGGAGAGGAGGAGAGAGGGAAGAGGAAAAGAGGAAGAGGAAGGAAGAGGAAGAGTGAAGAAGAAGGAGGGGGGAGAAGAAGGAGGAGGTGGAGGAGAAGGAGGAGGAGGAGAAGGAGGAGGTGGAAGAGGAGAGGAAGAAGAAGAAGAGGAAGAAGAAGAAGAAGGAGGAGGGGGAGGAAGAGAAGGAGAAGGAGAGGGAGAGGGAGAGAAAGAGGGAGAGGGAGAGGGAGAAGGAGAAGGGGCTCAGAAAGGCATCCAAGCACTTGAGGGGGGATGCAGTATGATCTAGGGTTGGGATGTGTACCACTCAGTGTTTACTAGAGAATCATACAAGACATACACATTATAAGAATTTACAGATTGGTTTACACTGGCCACCCACAAAGTCAGGTGTGGATAAGTGCAACAGGTCAGTCTGCACACTGGGGATCCAAAGGATCCAGCCTGGAGCTCCATGTAGCATCACGTGTGAGTCTGTATCAGCAGACTGAGGGTCTCTGCCAGGAGGCTGTCTTGGTTACTTTTCTCTCCTTGCTGAGACAAAATACCTGATGCCCAAAATTAAGGAAGGAAAGGTTTATTTCGCTTACAGTTTGTGGAGGTTTCAGTCCATACTTGGCAGGTTACAAGGCTGAGTGGCACATGGCAGAGGGCTACATCTCATGGCAGCAGAACACAGCAAAAGCAACAAGCACACAAGGGAGGAATGGCCGCAAGCAGCCTCTTCCCCTCCCTTGCATATGCAAACTATCCACCCCAGGGCGGGTGTAGCTCTCACACTCATAATCAATCAAACTCTACAAGCCTGCCCCATGACCACATGAGGCTTTGGGGGGACACCCAGACACAAACCATAACAAAGGCTGAAAGATCAATACTGGAGGCTGAAGAGTTTGTGCTGAAAACCAGGAGTCGACATCCATGGTGAAGGCAGACATTAGAGCTCATCCAAAGAAAACAGAAGCAATTATCCCTTCTTTGTTTCACTTTTATACCATTCTGGTGAAATCCTCCCTAGGATGAGTCTTTCACACCCAGAACTATGCTGAGCCAATTTAGTTGGGTGTTTCTTACTCCAGTGGACACAATCGGGCAACCATCACAGGATATTAATGTGGTCTCAGGGTATCATCAAAGTGGATGGCCCAGGATGCTTATTTCCCTGAGTTACTTATCATTTACTTGATGTCTGTTTCCTTAACGTCAGGCTGCTCATTAGTGGGTTAAAGCATAAACTGGCTTTATCAGTGAGGTTAAAACACAAACCATTTGTACATGTTTGGCCATTGGAGACAGGGTATCAAATTAAGAGTAGTGTTTCTTTGAGAGTGGAAGTCCATGCAATCGATGGACTTGTAGTATCAGTATAGATCAAATTTATGGACTTATTATACCTTTTAGACTCCTGGGAATTTATTTGGAAGAAAAACAAGCCTAGGGGTGGAAAAGGCATTGTAAGATTGGGAAATGTTGATTGTGTTTTGAAGATGAAGTATTCTTAAAATTACAATTCCCTGGTCTCCCTTCTACCTATTTTTATTTCTTCTATCTTACCTCAAGGTAACATAAAAATGACCTTCATTTTTCCTTGAGTTGTTAATAGTAAGATAGTGGGTATCAACTAGGTTGCCTGTTTTTGTGCCTCACATAAGATGCATTGTTAAATTAATGTAGACTTCAGACATGAGAAAACATTTACACAGTTTTCTTTGTGTCATTCATTTACAGACTCCCTTGGAAAATTCTCTTTTATAAACAGGGAGGTAAAACACTGAATAAAAGACCCATCTTTAGCAGTTAAGGGTTTAATTATAGGAATTGTATTAGGAAACTATTGAAGTGACTGGATTTCACAAGAGGATCGGTCAACATTGGTCGTGGCTATTCTGAACATACACTGTGCTTTCCAGATCATGAGGCTGGCAGGGCCATGCTGGACTTTTAAAACAACATCACGTTCACCAAGTGAGCACTGGTGGCCCTTATGCCAAGCCTTTTGGTTCACTGGTGTGGACAAACAGAAAAGGTCAGTGACAACAGGTACAATAATCATAAGGCAGGCAGGCCCAGGAGCTATCCCAGGGACACTGAGGCACGTGCACTTGTCCCTCAGGCATTAAGCATCAGTTTGAGATAAGCTTGTCTAAAGTGGACTCAAAATGTATATAGTCTTTACAAAAGAGATGGTAATTATGCACTGAGGACAGACGCTAAGCCCGTGTGTGGGTGTATGCCCAAGGTCTAAGTGGGTAAATTACTAGATTGGTTGAGACTTCACAAGGGCATCCAGTCCAATGCATTGCATCACACAGGCTCAAATGTCATGATTTCCAGGCAGGCAGTGATCCATTCTATTATAAAACTTTTCAAGTAAGTCTGTTTCACAGCTTTTCTCACAATTACTTTGCTCTGTTCAGCATCTCCCACAATCAGGAGATTTATTTATGATAAATATAAATCAATTTCTAAGCAGATACTGAGCTCGGGTTAAGAATTTAGAAATGTGCCAGTCTCTGTGGGGGATGTCAGCATCTGTAAGTCATGGTTCCTGCCCACTTTTCGTTCATCAGCTTGAGCTCTTCCACAAATTTTTGTTGATTCTTCTTCATTCAGAACTGACTTTTCCTCTGAGCTCACATAATACTGCACTTCCTCTACAAATCTGTTATAGCACTGGTCATGTTCTGCTTTTTATTATGGCTGTGGGTTCGTGCATGCACATCACCTCTTGTAATAACATGCTTCTTTAGCTAGAAAATGGAGACATTGGGATCAGTTTAAGCATTTGTTCAAGCTTAGGGTTCTTTGTAAAACTTTGGAGAAACATAAGAGAATGTATGTTTTACTACCCAATACTCAATACCTTTACTTGGGCACACACTATCAATAAAAAAATAACATTGTGTGCTCAAGAAGTGAGTGTACTATTACTCACTAGGCCTACTTGCTGTGGCAAAAAGGTTGAAATAATCTAAATGGTTAAATATTGTTTGGTCACATAGAATGATATGTACTTGTTGAAAAGATTTAGGTAGATCTAGCCCAGCCTAGAGGGAACTGGCTGCAGCAGAATCCTGCATGCCCTCTCCTGTCAGAGTAACGCCCAGCCAAGACAGAAAGGAGTTGCCTGGCACCGCCAACCCAAACGATGTCTTTGCAATGCACTGCAGAAGTCACTTTGCACCAATCCCCCACTCTGGTCTTTGTAACTGCAGTGCACGTGTTTCTGAGAATTTACGGCTCAACTTTCTTCACTTAATTAGTTGCTCCTTATGCTTCAAGTTTCAGCTAAAATATTTCTCCCACTAGTTTCCTGCCATACGCTCACATCTCACCTTGCCCTTCTTTACCACTTGTAACACCTTTCATTTTAACTGTGCAACAGTTAAAATGAGGTTGATCTTTCTTGATCAACTTCATATGATGCCAGGCTTATTTATGGCATATTCCTAAAACCGTGCACATTGTCTTTCTTATATTAGGCACTCTGTGCATGTCACCTGAATGAATGAATTAATGAGTTATAGTACACTGTTATTAAATATGTAGAAGGAAACATCCAGAGACACTCAATCTTGGGAACATTTTATTTGGAAAGATTTTGAGCATTATTTTAATCTTCATTTTCCATTAAGGCAATAACATTCTGCTTTCCTGAAGGCAGATGGGGGAAAATCACCCAGGGCTATATGAAGTTCAGACTAAAGTCAAAGCCAACCACTTTGCATTCAGATGCAGAAATATTGGTTATGAGCTGAAAGGAGCAATATATTAGCTTCCTGAGCCCACTGCCAAGGAATGGATCCAGGACAACGCATTGCAATTGCTTTGAAAAATGGCTAAGTTCCATTACATACGATCCCTAAGAAGATACCTCATTAACGACCCCATTTACCGTGACACAGGCAGTCTAGTGTTGGTTCACAAAGCTCTGTTGCATTTTTAGCCTTTGGTACATTCTTCTAGCTTTGCTTGAAATTCTTTAAGGGTTGAGATAATTAGCTCTTCCTAAAGCAACAAAGGCAGTTCTTATCCAGGATATATTCATTCTACCCTTGACTTCTGGCTAGCAGTATGTGGGGATGGGTGCAGGAGTGCTATTTATATTGGCACATATTACCCCCTAGAGCAAAGGGGTGGCAAAAAGCTTTTGCAGTACCAAAAAAGGTAAACATTGATCATATGGCCTGGCAGCAATCGCATATGCTGACATCAAAGAGCAAATGAAAGCTGAGCAGAACTGCTTCCAAATGTCACCAGGTATTTAGCCATATCACAATAATTACTTCAAATAAGCAGGGCTAAATACTAAGTAAGTACACAGACAGGCAACACCACAAAGGACAGGTGCTTAGGGATAGCTCTGCCCTGCCCCTTCGTGGCTTTCTTTTCTATCACACTTTACAATCACTATCTACCTGAGGTTATTCAAGGTGCTAGATTTGGTCTGAGTCTAAATTCTAGATTTAAAAACAAAAGGCTTCTTAATGGATGAAAAACTGAAAACTGATGACACTTGGGAGCTTGGTTCTGAAGAAAAGCCCTGATGTTGAGGTTTACTTCTGTAGCTACCAGAGACTCCTGGCTCCTCAACAGCCTGACTAACTCATCAGGATGCGCCCGGCGGCCAAGGAGGACACCAGGGAGAAGTGGGCCACAGAGCAGGCACTGAGAGGGAGTGGGGCATAGTCCCGAGGAGACAAGGAAAAAGGAGTGGAGAGAGGCTTGTCAAAGACTTATTACTGGCCTCAGTGAACAGGTGACAGGAAAGTTCATGGTCCCCTCTTCCTGGTCCTTACACTGAATGAAGAAAAAGGTAGCCAAATGAAACCAGTTTGAAAGGTTAGGTCAAAAGTTAACACTACAGTCTCTATCCTAACTGCAAAAACAGAAAGAGTGCCTAGAAAATAACTTCTTTTTATTTTGTTTAGATTTTCAAAGAAGAAAAAAGTTAAGAATAAAAGATATTTATAGGAGGTAAGGTCTTTTGCAAAAGAAAAAAAGCAAGCATTTTCTGTTAAGTGCAGGAGTGGCTGCTCGGTTGGGTGAACGCGCACTCTTTGGAACGCTGTATGACGTCACCAGGCTGAAAACTTTGGAATGGCTGGAATGGTCCTCACGCATCCTGGGAGCATCCTGTGTGGGGACCTCAGGATTCAGTGTGTTGATGTCTGCCCCGCCCCTCCGGGCATTACACCCTCTTCATCCCTTTCCCCATGAGGCAAGCAAACACTGTCATGACCATTTTGGGGTTCACTTCAACCAGGTCTTCTGGAAGGGCATACACTCTTGCTCCGATTTTTCTGGCCATAGAGATGGCGTACCTGAGAGGGGAAAAAAGAAGATAAATGAAGAAGAGCCCGAACAGCAGCGTAGGAAGCAGACCTCCCAGGACTATGGTTATAGTTGTCTTGCAGTCAGAATAGAACTCAAGCACAGAGTAGCTAGTGAGAGCCACCAGCATCCTCCAGAGTTTCCAGACACGTCTTGATTCCACAAGGCTTGCAACAAAGTGCTAGTGTTACCATTTAGCCGCATGGTAATGACCAGTGGTCATATTTGTCCTTGAAGACCTCCCCAGTTCCTGCCACTTTTGATACGCACACCAGGAGTATTATTTTGTTCTTTTTTTGAGACAGGATCATGCTATGTAGTTCTAGCTGTCCTTGAACTCACTACATAGCCCAGGCTGGCCTCAAACTCATGGCAATAATTGCTTCAGCCTCCCAGTGCTAGGATTACAGGCATGCATAACCACGCGTGGCTAAGGGTATTCTCTTGAGCTACAAAATATGGAAGAAAAAAATTGGAGAAATAAACAAGAATTTATGCTAGAAAAGGTCTGCAGACTCTGTTTCAACTACAGAATCATTTTTATAGAAGAGAAAAAAATGTACCTATAATACCTTGAGCTTATGTATCATTTCTTTTATTCTTAGCTTCATTCTAATTTGTGTCTACATATACAAGTTTTCACTTACTATACTATTAGACTAGCCATAGTTTTGTACTTCATATTTTTCACATAAAATTATCATAGCTATATTAGAATACTTTTGTCTTACTTATAATTACATAAAGACAATGTAATTATATGTAATTTTTATCAGTTGTAATCCATTTCAATGTGAGTCTAAACTACTACCTGGCAGTTCTTTTATTCATTTTACTCATTCTCCTGCAACCTGTTACTATGGCTACTCTGAGATTTCCCACCCTACCTAAGGCCCCATTCCTTTCTCCTGCTCTCCGGAAAAACCTTCCTCTTACTTCACAGATGAAATTAAAAGAAGAGCGTGAGGCAGGAATAGTTCACCTTGTCCACTGCTCAGTAACTTCCTCTTTGCTGTTTAGTAGTGGAGAAATACTAATTTGTTCATTATAAAATGTAGAGGAAAACTGTATAAAACTCCATAAGTAAACTTCAAAATAAAGTCACATGCAGTCAAGATTTTGCATCTTGCCCTTATGGGAGGGTTCATAGGAGCCTGCACTCAAAATCAGTCTCTGGATCTCAGTTGCGCAGCTTATGACCTTGGCAAGTGCCTGAAATCTAACCACACCCCTTTGATCAGCAGGGCTTAAGATTTTTTATTTTAAAAAAAATTTTCTGAGTTTTTAGCTATGTTCTTTGTCTAGAATACTCTTCCTATGTCCTCCTCACTTGTCCCTTCAGTCCAGCGTAGTTTAGATGTTCCTTGCTCTAGAGCTTCAGTCCCTCCCTGTCCCCTCCTGCACTCCCCTCTGCCCTCCACAGTACCCTTCACACTACTGTAATCGCCATTTCATTATTTATCCTCTCTCCATTGGATTGTGCTAAATATCACCACACTTTTTTTTTTTTTTTTGGTTTTTTTTTTT